GAGAAGCTAAAGAAAAAAAAAACACATACAAACTACCTTTTGTTCTAAACTTTTTTCTGTTTTGTGCTAATTACCTTCATATTTGCAGCTGGGTATTCAATTAAGGTGTCATGAAGCCTCCTCTAGTGCATCATTCCTAAGCCAGAAAGGCTCATTATATGGTCTGGGGTTACAATTGATTTTTTTCTTCTGTTTTATTGAGCAGCTGTCTTAGCCTGGGCAGTGTAACTCAATACAACGCAGCATATTTTGTGCTGGTATCTTAGCACAAATTCGTAATGGCTGTTTTGGAAAATGTGCCATGAATTTATCTCAAGGCCTTCACACTGGAATAGTTAATTCAGCCTTACAAATCCTTGGCACTTGACTTTGATCTTTCATAACAAAACTCAGTGTCTGTGATTTGATGCCTTGAAGTCAGCAAAACAAAATGGTGCTTTCGCAGCCATGTTTACTTTGATCAGTTTTCAACATTTGTGCCCTTGCTTTTCACGTAGCACAAATTGCTTTAGCAGAGCACTGGGGCAGGAGCCCACAGACTGTTTTTGCAGTTGGTTACTGTGGTGATCCTGAGCCTCTGATCGCTGGGGAAGCAGAAACCTCTGCAGCTGGCAGAGCCTTCACCTTGTTGCCATCATGGGGAGCTGCTGGAGACCTTAAAGGACCTTTTGGCAAGATGCTGGGGGCCACTGGTGGCCGTGGACGCCTGCAAAGGTGCTCACCGAGCTCTGCCTGTGCCAGCTTGGCAGACAGGGTGCCTATGGAACATGGTATCTTTATAAAGTCTCACTTTTTTCACGCATGTACTAAAAGAATCAATCCAGCTGAAGTGACACAGCTTTGCTGTGATTAATTTCCTGTTCATAATCACAGGCTTGGCTGTTGGTAAGACTTTTGTAAATGAATTTTTTTTAATGGTAAATTTTTTTAGACTAAACCGTAACTATTTTCCTTTTTTCTTCTTTTTTAACCGATGACCAAGTGGTTGTATTGCTCCCAAGTTAGTCATGTGTTGCTTGGAGTCAGAGAGTGCCAAAGGAGAGAGATGGGCAGAGCTGGGCCTGGGGGAGCAGCCTGCCCGGACAGACAGTTTCTAAAGCTGCGTCTTACTGCAAGAACCATGGCTTAAAAGCACGTCCAAAAAGTCTGGCCTAACTGTTGGTTGCACAATAAAAATGTTGGCTACACAACAGCTCAGAAATCATATGAGACCTTTGCAAGGGGGAAGGGCCGAGTTAGAGCGCACTGCCTGACTTTACTGCAGTGTTGCTGTGCCGCTGTTTGCTTGGTTAAAGCACGAGCCTGTTACATGGATTAAAAATAACATGGACTGAGCAATTGCCAAGTGAATGGACTCGGTGACCGAAAAGTCCTCAAGACCCTTTAATGATTCCGGTTTTACTTTTTTTGGTTTTGTTCAGCTCTGATGTACAAGTGCCTGAGAAGAGGGTTTGGTTGAGGTAGTGGATTGCTAAGAAAATGTGTGTATTTTGTAAGTTTATTTAAACTAGTAAGAAGGGGTGGAGGATGTCTCTTTTTAGGATACCTTATAACAAATTTTCCATGGGAGATTCAAGACAAGAGTTAATTTTACAGCTGCTTTCGAAAGGTTTTGCAGAATTTTGTGCCCTGTCTTCGTATCTGGCCGTACAGAGCTGAACACACACAGGACTAACTTTTGAGTTCTCTGGGCAAAACGTGCCATAAATATTTAATAATGTGGTTTCTGCTAGTGAAAGTACAAAAGGAAAGAAAGGGAAAATTTCTAGTTAGCTCTTCTGCTATTAATTAGAAAAGTTTTGTTTAGTGGTTAGAAGTGATCCAATACCTTTCTATTAACTTATGCCATGCTTTTTAAAAGGTGCTATGCACTGTCTAGACATTTAGGAAAGGATGTGCCTTGAGCTCACTAAGCGGAGACCGAGAGCAAATGTGGCCATGAAAAATTCCACTAACACAAGCTTGGATCTGCAGCGGGCAGAGATGGCTCCTTGAGGAGGAAGTTCCCTGTGGAGTGAGGAGCTCTGCAGTGCTGCGGGAGGCAGCAGTGGCACTGGGTTGAACTTCAATTATTTGCCTTTTATTTAAATGTATATGTTTTAATCTTTGAAGTCTAAAGAAATAGCAACTGAGAAATCTAAGGGTACATCCAGTTGCAAAGAATTTGATTTTTCTCACTTAAATAGTATTCTTTTCTTTTTGTGCTCAAGAGAAAATTTGAGATCAAATTAAGCAGAAATCTTCATAAAACCTAAAACATCTGTCTTGTCTGATAAAATTGGCTTTTAGTAGACTTGCCTGAGATCATTTGAAATTGAGATACTTCTGCACTTTCATATTACCCAAAGGACTTGACTCTATTCTTCCTAAGAAGAATTTTTGTTTTATTTTTTCTTAATCTCATTTTTAATAAAAACCAGATGTTTTGAATAACAAGAATTTTTCGAATTGAAGAAGCATCTTCATCTGGTTAACTTGGCATTCCAATAAAAACACCACCAGGTTGCATCCTCAAACTTAGCACTTCTGTTGGCCTATGTGAGAGAATTGCTATGATTTTGTGCGTTCAGTTATTTAAGTACATAAAGATTCTAAATATTTATGAAATATAATATGGGCTTATTTTACTTAAGAAAAAAAGCTACACAAGGAAAGTTGGATCAGAATAAGCTAGTTATCAGTTATAGGTGAGAAAGTGGATGTAGGCACATACAAGAAGTAACCCATTTAATCTTCACTGCACTTAGTGTAGTCTGTTTTCTCTTGGACACTTTAATGTCTAAAGACTTTAAAATCAAATGCATTTTATGCTGTTTGGAGCTGAAAAATATCAGAATAAAGTGTGAACTCATGTTTGCTAGATCAGTATTACAAAGGATATAATTGAGCTACTTTGGTAAACTTAAATTGCAGTATTTTTATTGCTTTGTAAGAAAATGATTACATAAAAACAGAGCTAGGTAATTATATTTAATAGCTTAAGCAGCTCATTACTAATTAGCCATGATTATAGCTGAAAAACCGCAAGAATTAATGAAAGCTTTTTAATAGCAGAGGATTTAATAGCACTTCTAAACACCTTTTCCTTGCCACATTCATCAGCCTCCACTTCTACCCACAACAACAAAGTGGGTGGGAGTCTTGCTGAATAAAGCAGTTTATCTTTTCCTGCATTTTTCAGCTAAAAGAAATGTTCTGGCTTTATGGCCTGATACTTTAAATCAGCTTTTATACCTGCTTTTTGGCATACAAAGTCCTCATCACCTTGTGAGCTTTCAGCGAGTTAATGCCTGCAGCTTCCTCAAGCAGGTGCTTGATCCTTTTGAGGCGATAAACGGAGCGAAATGCGCTCCTTGGAAGATGTAGTAGTCTATGGCACTCAGTGTTTGCTTTTGGAAATGCATGAATGTAAATAAGAGCGCAAGAGAGCACTGGGAAATGTGGCTGCGTTTCCTTGGGGAACGCAGGTGCTGAGTGCATCTTGGCTCCCGCACGGTGTCTGCACCGCGCGAGCACCGAGACCCACGGCCGGGCGTCCCTCGCGCCCTGTCTGCACCGCGCGAGCACCAGGGCC